AGTATATATATTTAAATTTTTATATTATTTAAATAAATATTTATGAAAAAAATTAAAAATTATAGTTTTTTTTGTAACACACTGTACTTGAATAATATTTTAATATATAATAAAATAAAGAAAGAATATATATAACATCTTTAGACTAGATTAAAAATATTTTGCAAGCATGAACTATATATTAAATAGAAGAAATATAATATAATCCAACAATATATAAAGTATCTTGAATACTTTATATTAGCAGATAGCATCTTAGTTAACTAAAGAAAAATAATTACAATAAGAGATTGGCTAGTATTAATAAATATATCAGAATTTTACTTATTTCTTGAACTTGCAAGCTACTACAGAAAGTTTATCAAAGAATTTTTAGCAATTGTATTACTATACTTCTACACAAAGATAAGAAATATAAATAATCTATAACAGTGCAATAAGCTTTTGAGCAATTAAACTAACATCTTATCTCAGTACCAGTCTTGTTATTATCTGATTCTAAATTATTATTTACATATACTACAGATATTTTAGATTTCATCATTGAAATTGTGTTAAGCCAAAACCAGAACAAGGATGATTAATCTATAGCTTTTGAATTAAGAAAGTTATTACTAGCTGAACAAAACTATCCAATACATGAAAAAGAGTTATTAGTAATTGTACATGCTATCAAACTTTGAAAGTCATATTTAAAAGGTTAAAAATTTACTATTATTACAGATTATGTCTTCTTGGAATATATCAAAACACAATACAATCTTTCCAAGAGACAGGCTTGCAGGTTAGAGACTCTATAGACCAGTAACTTTGAAGTAAAATATAAACCAGGCAAAAATAATATTATTATAGATACACTTTCATGCCAATCACATCTGACAAATATATTAGTAAATTTGATAGATATCAGATTAGTGATGATCAGTAAATATACTGATTATTCTAGCTTTTAACAGGTGTTTGTTAAAGCAAGGCAAGCCATTTAGCCGGTTTAGCTACATATCCGCCACATATTTATCTGCACCACATGATTTGAGAATAGCTAATCAATATCCTAGCCTTTAACGTGGCTTTTTAAGGGATAAACCAATCAAATTGCAAGATAATGTGTTAATGAAAAAATTCAAAACAAATGATATATCTCGTGTGTTTTAATAAAAAATATTCCTTGCGAAATTTTACATATACTCTCGCATCCATTATAAACTCTACTCTGAATCTAACTCTAAATCATACCATAATCGAAATACTAATATTCATATCTTGTAATTTAATTCGAACCAAAATTCCGATCTCCAACATCTCAACATCCAAATCCTAACGCTCTCAAAATTCTGACATATCCAACATTCCAAAAAAATAAATAGAAGCATAAAGGTATGATACAAATTTTACCCTTTATACCCTTTATAATCGTTATGTTGTGTGATGTTGAATATGTTGACTAAGACAAAAGTTTTATTATTAGGTGATATTCATAAATCCAAAGCAACTAATATTTTCGCATGTTAAGAAGTTAGGATTTTGTGTCAGGATTTTGAGCATTTGATTTCAGGATTTTAGGCATCGGGATATTGGGTATCGGGATTTTGGTTTCAATCTAAATCGCAAGATATGGTTATTAATTAGTATTTGATTATATTATAATATAGGCTTAGATTCAGAGTATGGACTCGAAAATATATGCATTTCATGTGTTCGATTTATTAAAGCATTGATGTTTGTTGTTACATTATGTACATGTATTAACGTACCTGTAAAATGACAACAATTATCTCGTTTGTTATATGCATTTTTTAAAGTGAATTCAAGATAAAATCGAATACTAAATATTGTCAAAAAATATCTAGTACTGCGATGAGATTTCAGTTCGATAAGTGTTCAGTTCACAATATGGTTATAGTAAATGTGCTCGTTATCAAGAAATGAGGACTGCTAGAAATGTTTAAAATATCACAAGCGAATTTATAACGATGATTGTCTAGCAGAGATAAAAATTCGACAATCTTGCAAAATTATTCGAATGGATTGTAAAAGGAGGTTTGGGTCAATTTATAAAGCAATCTGGTTGAAAGTATGTCATTACATTCAAATGAAAGAAATTGAATTTGAACGACGAAAAGAAGGAAAGTTGTGCTTGAATCATTACGCAATTCAAAACAATTTATTGAGAGTTTATACACGAGGTAAAAATGAACTTTTTCAAAGGGAAAGTTGCTTTTTGTTTTCTGAAACAATCAAATTTTTCGAAAATAGATTCAGAAATTCATTATTATGGAAAAACTAAAAATCCAGCTACATGTGCAAATGAATCTTCGTAAATTTTAACTACAAAAAATTGACTTGGGATTAAAATTAGGTTATTATTCAATTATCTCTAATCTAACAATTCACACAGAGAAATTGTTCATCGTATCTTTCATCCTAATTATATTATTCATTAATGTGTAATGTATTTGGACTTAGTATTCCAACAAAATAAAAAATCTGACCGAGAAAAATTTGCAACTTCCTTACATGAGTCCAGAGTTGTTAAATGGAAAGCCATACACTAACGCCGCAGTTGCGTAATCCGTTCGCAATCAATTTGTGAAATTTTGATATAAACGATATGTCAAATTTGAAAAGTTAGAAAACACATTCTTTTAATTTTCTGGCCGAAGAGCTATTATTCTCTTAAACTACACCATATTTTTACAATACAGAATATTCACAGAGTAATTCATCCACTACTGAAAATTGTCAATCAAAACTTGGTGGGTCTTTCTATTCTATGTTGATTTAGGTAGTTAGTTAAAAGAGATATGGTCTCAAAAGAATCATTAATATATATTAGTATGAATTTATTATAATACAATTGCAATAAAAATTTCAGTATTAAAAGTTCATTAAAGTTTGATAATCCAGAATCTATATGGATCACGAACATACCGAGGAAAGAAATTAAGGAGGAGGATATTGATCATTCATCATCCTCATCCGCAGATTCATCAAACTTGTTAGTAACTTCCTCATCAAAATTTATTTCAGGTATTATGTCATCGTTACCCATTAACACCGCTTCCGCAACTTTGATGTATGCTTCAAGATAATAATGCCATTTACGATATTTGATTATATCATCTTTTAAAGCATTTAATCTTCTTTGCAGGTTATCCTGGTCTGGCTGCCAATTGAAACGTTCGTCGGCAAGAAACCTTATTATATATGCATCCTCGTTGTCGCGTGTTGCATCTTCAAGCCGTTTGATATAATTTGACACTGAGCTGAAATTGTTAGATTTGCTCAAGGACCAGATGCGCATGACAAACGGTGATTCTAGTATCCGAGGATCAAGTAAAGCTTCCCATTCGTATTCTTCTTCAGGCGAGTTGTACATAGATTCAAAGGCATCTTCATTTGCCAGAAGAAATTTGATGATCACCTTTGGCGAGAGATACCATTTTGATGAAGGGCGAGCATCAGGATGGTAAGGATACCCATATCCAAGCATCAGTGATGCGATACGACCAAGTAGTTCACGTTCCAGGGTTGGGGCTTTTTGTGGATGACTATATTCGTATTGCACTTTAACAAGCTGCTGAGTAGCGTCAATAACGCTATTTGTAATTCCCATCGTCAAACGACGTTTATAGATGTAATTAATAGAAGCTTCTTCTTTTTTGGAAAAACTGGTCTTACTCTCAGGCTCTTCGAATGTGTCCGGATTTTTGCCCATATCCGCGAGATTTATGAATAGTTTTACCTTATCTTCTGTATCTATTGGTCTACCTTTTACAATGGCTCTGACTCGTTCAGTTATTGTTTCCGAAAGGTTTGAAAAGATTATGGAATTATTCTCTGTTTTGGTTTGTAGTTCCTTGGATTCCTTATCAATCATTTTTCCTCTCTGGATTTTTTGCAGGTTTTCTCTCACAAAGTTAAGATAACGTGACCCCACTACTTTTGAAAGGGCATCTATACCATCTTTAACTTCCGGCTCCGTAATTAGAAAAGCTCTTGCATATGCCGAATTTGGATTATCTGCCGCCCATTTGATTAAGTACCCTTCATCCTGATGCACGCAGATGACACTCAACTGATAAAAATGAACAAGTGACGTAGAATAAGTCATCATTAATAGATCAGTACGTGCATCAAATGTCTTCTTAAAATGATTATACGGGCCCTCAAAGAACATGGCATAGAGCGCCCACGAAAGATCTTCAATCGGCAATACTTTATTTATTTTAGGTGAAGATTTTTTAGAATTCATTTTATTTTTTATCATCTTCTTCATAATGTTTGCAATTTGATCCTCCGAACTTTGCTTATCTGTCGAATTTTTATTTTTGTGGCTCTGACTCAATCTCCAGTACCGTTCAAATTTTGAGACTAAGATCCCTTACATAGGATTATCACTCTGCGCTTGTAGCAAGGAAGAAAAAACAGTGTCGCGCATAATACGGATAGCATATTCTGCATGTAGCAATAAACATAAAGCCCCAAAGACAGCCACCCATTGGTTACCTCCGTACACAACAGGATTTCCCGCAATATTTTTCTTTTTATGTTCATAAAAAATTCGGCTGTAATCATCACTGATCTTTTGTTCGACAGCCTCACCAAAACTTAATATGCTCGACGGTGACACTTGTACTTGATGTGAAACGAATTCATCTGCGTCAATCTTACATAGATCTATTAAAGTTGATCGCATGATATATTCTTGTATTAAGCGTTGTATTAGCATATGTGCTGTATTAAAACGATCATTAACAGGGCTGATGTAATTCTCAATTTTTTCAATGTATTCATGAAAATTTGAGCCTTGAAAATCTTCAGGCGGAAACTCTGCATATCCGTTGGTGTCTTTAAGGGTTTCGAAAATTTCCCACATATCTTTCAAAGACCATCCATATCCTGCACTAGTTTCCCTTGCCCTTTTGATCTCTTCCCCAAAATCTTTTAACAAAGGATCAGAGTGAATGGTTGGGGTATATAGCGGTGAAGAAAAAAGTGTTTGAAACACTAATATAAACTGTTTGCAGAATTCAGGTATCAACCCTGCTTGATCTTTGGAATGCCTGAGGCGTTTCATTTTTTTATTCAGCTCCATATTTGCGCTAGATTTCCATTCCGATATATCTTTTATAAGTTCTTCAGCAGAGTCGATTGCAAAGAATTGTGAAGAAATCTGATCACTGGTTCCATCCTTTTTCCTATTATTTTTTTGGTTTGCTTCTAATAGCAGTCGCCCAATATCGAAGACATGACGACGAGACTCTCCTTCACCACGGCTCCATCGGTCCATACAGTCACAAAAATCATCTAAAAGATCATTTTGCATGATGAATTTATACACAAAGAAACTTCAGCGATTCAACATTTTTATGTCCGTAATGAAAGAAGTGGTCCTTATATACATAGAATGGTTAAAGATTTTCGAACAAAACTTTACCCAAGTTTTTTATATAGATTTCTAAATTCGGTAGTATTATGATCGAAAGCTTGTTTATACAGGTATTCTGCCAGACGATTAAAATCAATTTTCATAAATAAATACAGTACATATAAATATCAAGGAACGCATGTATGCACAAACTCCAATTGGATTTTTTAAACGTTAACATTTAACTTGGAAATCCTTTATATGTACATGTATGTACATATATTTATATATTTCCTTTCCTAGCTGATAGGAGTTTTCCGCAATTTCTTTGTTTTACGAATCTCGTGATCCAACTCCCATAGGACGTTAAACACACCACAACGCTAGTTAATGGTGACGAAAAGAAGTTTTAGTACTTTATATCATCAGGTTGTCAACATTTTTCATGGTTATGAAAACATAATTAAAGCAAGTAATTAATCGATTAAATAATACAAAGAAATAGATAATTTTTTATTTAAATATCTGTTATTACTACAACGCATACGGCAGATAATCATATTTCGTTGGTACGTTAAATAATGACTGAATTTCATTTTTATATTATTAATATTCTTCAAAAATTAGATGTTCCCCCAACTCAGTTCACTTTTCATTTGCTGACCAATCTTACACCACTTATTCTGGAAAAAATGCTGCTCTCCTCTTATGATGAATACACAGAATTCTTTTATGCACCATCATCTTCACCATCATCTTCGTTATCAGACATTACGGCCTACAATAATTTATGATCGTGAATTTCTGAAACGCATATTTGTAATATACATGTCATCGGTCATCAGACTGCTTTATTTCTTCACAGAACAAAAACAGATGACAGGGATGATAGAAAAACGTCTAATAAAATTCTTATTTATTTTGAAGGTACAATTGTGATTTATAAAAATTATAATATGTTGAATGATATTATTAATACTGTTAAAGATAATTATCTTAATTCTATGTTATTACAGATTTATAAAATACAGTAAACCATCAATTTTAAGCACCCCTATTAAGCACCACTTACATTTTAGTGATTCCTAAATTTAGCACCATTGCAAAAATTATAATCATTTAAACTTTATTATTACTTGATTTGAAAAGCCCGTTTATGAATTAGCACCATTTGGCTAAAATGATCATTTTCCCGGTGCTAAATATCGATGGCTTACGGTATTTATGAATATTTCAAACAAAGAATTACCGAAAATAAGAACCCGAAAATAGAATCTTTCGAAATCAAAATCACAGGATTTTTATTTTCGAAACTTTTTGATTTGATGCCCCGATTTATTATGCATACTATGCGTACAGAGTGTGCACATAACGCACACTAGCCCATCTCTATCGCTCTTCATTAAAAAGTAAAAATTAACATGACCCAACCTTCTAGTTATATATGACGCGTGTAAAAAAGGGAGAAAGACAGTCGTATTCTGTTGGAGGAAGTTCGGAAAAATGATTAAGTAGAAGAGAATAAAGATTTTATTTTTTCATGTGAATATGTAATATAATATGTGCTTCTGAGACACCTAATTATAGAATTTAATAAACGCATATTGAGAGTTTTGTATTTACAAAACTTATCATATTATCATGATTTTCTTCTAAAATCAAAATGCTTCTTATTTTTGGTGGGTGCCTATAAGCACTAGAAAGTCCAGAATTATTTAAATTTTATTTTTCACTTTTTTGGTGAGAATGATGGTTGAGCATCGTTCAATTGGCTACACGATTTCCAAAATTTGACCAACGAATAGAAGGATTGATAAAAGACAAAAAAAGATCAGTGATATCATTATCTTTTATAAGTATCCAAATGAAAGTCTTTTTCTCACATGCGTAAGCAACAACAAACACAAAAAAATAGTCTCCAAGCTCTCAAGTTGAAGTTGGCGAAGACATGGAGGAAGAGAATGATCAAGATGATGAAAAGGAGGATGATAAAGATAAACAAGAAGAAAAGAGAGATGACGGAATCAGATATCGAGACGGAAATTAAATTATCATTACCTCAGCAAAAAATGCTAGTCAAATCCTTGGCCATGTTTGTGAACCTATGGCAAGAAATCGAATCTTTAATGTCTTAACATTTGTTTCATATAACGCTACTTCGTTAGTAAGGCGAATTAAACTTTAATGAATTTATTTGAGAACGAAATAGTAACAATTATAATTAGAATAACATTTGTAAACACAATTTATTCTTTATAAGGTATAGTATAAATAAATTATTATTATACAAAAAAAGGGGATTATAGAAACCAAAAATTAAGGAGTGACAATTAATCGAAAAATTAATTAAGATTGGATATGATGATGACGGATGGTAAAAAAATGATATGAAAAAAGATGGAAACAAAAATTGTATCTTCCAAGATTAAAAGAAAAGAGAGTAAAGAAAAAGAAATTTATTATATAAAATTTCAAAAAAGCGAATTTCTTGTTCTTTTAGTTATGTGTATCATCTTTGACTAATTTTTATTAACCTGTGTACAGTTTAGAATTACTTTTTCATTTATGACACAGTGTAATATGTTGATCCCTAGCGATCAGAATTGCACGAAAATACCATCATTTGATTTATCATGTCTAGACGAATCGAATGGTGATTCCGACCGCTAGGGAACAAGATATCGCACTTGAAATCACCGTGCGCCAAAATTTAATTTAAATTGGCGAAGATCTGGTGATATCTCGCTACCCAGAGACGAAATCACGTGAAAATACTGACATTTGATTCGTTGTAGCACGGCGAATCAAATGGCAGTATTTTCACGTGATTTCGTCTCTGGGTAGCGAGATATCACCACTTAAATTCCCCGTTTATTATATCTTCGTGTTAAAAATTTTGGTGCACGTTACCTAGAGGTGAAATATCACCATTCGATTCGTCTAGGCAAGACAAATCGAATATGTTTTCATGCGATTCCGATAGCTAGTTATCGAGATATCGCATCTGTTTTTATTTTCCCTCATAATTATCATTTAAAATACCATCCAAAAAATGAAATGAATTTGCTTTTTCAACCATAGTAAATATATTGATATCTGTAAAAAAGTTTTCTAATGACAATTTTAACTGCGTCATAATAACTCAATCTACCTTAAATATACGTGATTTATAGTTCTTATTTTTCATTTTTTTA